CTATCTATTTGAATTCTTTTACTTGTAGCCAACTAGTTTTATCAGTACCATTTGTTGAAACTGCTGTTTTGAAAATACATGCCTTTTCCAGCATGTATTTCTGGATTCTTTATCAAAAATCAGGTGTCCAGATTTATGTATTTGTCTTTAGTTCAATTCTATTGATCACTGTGCACATATTAGTGCTGATACACTCTGTTTTTTGTTTTTTTGGTTTTTTTTTGTTTTTACTACAATTCTGCAGTACAGTTTGAGGTCTGTAGTGATATCTCTAGCTGTTCTCTTATTTTTAAGGATTGTTTTAGCTTTTCTGGTTCTGTTTGTTTGTTTCCACATGAAGCTGATATTTGTTCTTTCAAGGTCTAAAAAAAAAATCCATGAGCATGTAAGATCTTTCCTCCTTCTGCTATGAATTTCTTACTTCATTGCCTTAAAGTTTTTGCCCTGCAACTTTTTCACTTGCTTGGTTCCAGTTTCACTAAGAATTTCTGTTTGTGTGTTTATTTTTGTTTAATTTGAGGCTACTATGAATGTTTTACTTTCCTGATTTTTTCTTAGACCATTTGTCATTTGTTTATAGGAAGCCTAAAAATTTTTTGAATTAGTTTTGAATCCTGCTGCTAGACTTAAAGTGTTTTTCATCTGTAGGAGTGCCCTAGTAGAGTATTTGGGTCTCTCATGTTTACTATCATATCATCTGAAAATAAAGAGACTTTGATTTGTTATCTTCAAACTTGTATCCCCTTTATCTTTCCCAAGTGTCTTATCATTTCAGCTGAGTTAAAATACTATACTGAATAATTATGGAGAGAAGAGACAACCATGTTCATGATTTTAGGGTGGTATCTTTGAGGTTTTCTCCATTTACGTGGATATTGGTTATGGTTTTGCTATGAACTTCCTTTATTCTGTGGCAGTATGTTGCTTGTATACCTAATTTCTCCAGGACTTTTATCATGAAAGGGTGTTGGAAATTGTCAAAGGCATAAAAGGCCTTTGACAATAATCTAATGAGATGACCATTGTCAGATAGTATGCAATGTGTTATTTCAATTTTTTTGTATCTTTTGAAAATTTCTCTGTGTCTGATTATATGATCAGTTTTGGAGATAGGTCCGTGGGTTCTGAGAATATGTTATATTCTTTTGTATTTGTGTGAAATGTTCTGTAAATATCTGTTTCATTAATAATAATAGTTAATTGTTAAATTGCTGAGAGCTGTGTAAGTAATAACTAGTGTTCAGATGTCAACCAACCATAGAAATGATTTTCTGATGGAAAAGAATCCCATCCAGGAAGGGCCTGCATGACTAACTCTGGAAACTGCTGTTACTGTCAGTAATTTCTCATTCGCTAAAGCAGACATGATGTCTCTCCTCAATACCTACATTGTGATGTGTTAATTCACATGAGATGTATACATATTCTCATGATTGAATTTCAATCTTGTGGGGACATATGTATGTGGATAGTCAAGAAGTATGATTTTGACATATGGAAAATATACTAGGATCTGATTTATAACTAGATTATCCCATGAGGACTATAAGACACTGAAAAGCCTACTTTGTCCCTTTCACTAAAACTACCCATTATTAGCTTGTTTTTACCTCAGAACAAATTCAAACTAGAGTGAATATTTCTATAAATGGATCATAAGTTAAAAATCAACAGTTAAGCACAAGGTCAGAGTCACAGATGTCCAACCAAGGTTTAACACAAAGCATCCTAAAATTTCATGCCAATTTCACTAACTAAACTTGGCTGATAACACAGGCCACTGGCCACTCACTAATAAATTCCTTAGCAATTAACAGTCTATACAACTTCCAATCTCAGTTTATCATATAAAACTCAAAGTTCAGCAAACTAATTATTGATTAGATCACAAATAACAATTAATCAATTAACCGAGTTCAAAGAAATTTAGTCATATGTCCAGCTACTTCAGATAAAACTTTACAATTAGCCAGGGCTAAAAGGAATGATCTGATCTTAGAGATAAGGTTACAAGGTTTCCTCCTTGTGTATGTTCTGGGGTTTCAAACAGGATAAAAGCATATAGTTTTAGATTTAAGACATTTTAAATGCCACTGTCTTGGAAGATGCCAGACACCATGTCCCTGCCTATGGGTTGCCATGGTAAATGGCTCAGCTCCTTACCATTTTCCTAAAGAATGTGCAATGACCAATGAGATGTAATTCTTGCAACATTTTTTCTTCTTGCTTATGACTCCTGCAGAAAATATATTTAAGCCAGAGGTACAAAGAAACAAGGGAGAACTGGAACAGAGAATTGAAACAAAGAAGAACTAGAAACTGCATAGGTAGAATTAGCACTACAGAACAATAAAGATCAGGACACTCGGCTCATGTATTGAGTCTTTACACTTCAGAAAAGATAAGTTCAGTTTCACTTCTTTCTCAAACCCTGGCTGTAGCCTTGAAAGCTGGCTTTTCATGGTTATTGATACTAAATTTCTCTATTTTTTTTGTCTCAAATACTTGTCTATTGGTGAAAGTAGGGTACTGAACTCTTCCACTGTCAGTATGTGAAGGTCAATATGTGATTTAAGTTGTCATAGCTTTTCTTTTTTGAACGTTGGGACCATTTTGTGCAAAGCACCAAATAGAGTGAACCACAAAAGAAATTCACCTTGGCACATAATAAAACACTAAACATACAGAACAAGAAATAGATATTAAAAACTTTAAAAAATATAGTGGAAAAGGCCAACTAACACATAAAGGCAGCCCTATTAGAATAAATCTTGGTTTCTCTATGGAGATTCAAACCCAGAATGGACACATGGACAGATGCTCTACAAACTCAAAGAAAACACATCCTAGCCCAAACTACTATCAAGAAACTTTCTATCACAAATAGATGAAAAAAATAAGTCATTTCCTGATTAAACCATTTTCAGCAATATCTACAAATTTAGCCCTATAGACAGTTCTAGAAGAAACACATTTAAAGAGAATAACCACATAATCCCAGTCAGGAAAACATAAAGAATACATATTTCAAAACAAGTAATCAAAATAGAAACACACACACACACACACACACACACACACACACACACACTACCATCACCACCACCACTATCACTAATACCATAAGCATCATCACCACCACCACCATAACAACAAAAAATAAATAAAAGGAAGTAACAGTGCTTACTGATATAATTCAACAACTGTCTCAATTTTCCAATGAAAAGGCACAGAATAACAGAATAGATGAAGACATTATCCATTTTTCTACTGCAATTAAAAAACATACCTCAACATTGGTGAGAGACAGTATCTCATGGTAAAAGGAAAAAAGTTGATCAAGTAAATGAACCCAAGAGGCAATCTTCTGCACCCATTTTAATATGTGACAAAATAGACCAAGCCGAAACTCATCAGAACAGATAGAGAAGGACACTACATACCCATCAAAGGAAAAACCCACCAAGAGGACATTGTAATTCTGAACAACTATGCATCAAACTGGTCATGTTTCTAGATACCAGATCTGATTAGAAAGATTTATCAATATTCTGAGTTCTGATACATTGAGAGAATAATAATGCTTTTTATACTCTCCCAATGTCTTGTTTGGAAGATGAGGGAATTTATATATTTCTCTAAAATAAGCTCATTTGAGCACTGATGTGAAGATTTCTAAGTGGTCCTTGAAACTTAACATTAAGATAGCAGTAGAAATAGGAGCAATGAAGCATAGACAAGTGAATGACAGATTTAATGAACGACAATGGTAGTCTAGTTTAAGCATTTGATAAAATACCCAAAGGAAATTGTTTAAGGTGTATTTTTAAAAAAAGCAAAGACAGAGGTTTATCTTATACCACACTCAAAAATCATCTTAAAATACATCAAAAACTTAGACCTGAAAATATAAAATACATTAAAAACTTAGACCTGAAAATATAAGACTCTTTGAAGAAAATACTGGAGAATGGGTTCTTAATATCTATATAGGTAGGGATGCCACCAACAGCAGAGAGTAGAAAAAGAGTATTTCATAGGTAAGAAGAATCCTTTCTAGGGATGTTTTACAGAATCTCAAGGGCACAGAAAACTTTGTGAATTGGAAACACACTTGATGTAAAATCTACTTATCATAAAAAAATTAACAAAAAGCAAGAACTTTAATATGATGACTGTGCATATTTACTTCCTTTCCGTGGTTTCAGTTTCTATTCACATGCCCAACTCATCAGTATCCATACATTAAATAATGCATTTTGTAAATTTCAATTGTAACTTGATGGCTATTTTTAAATGGAAAACTTCTTTTATACAGCAACATAATAAAAAGAGAAAGTTAGATTAGACTACAAAATTTTTAAATTTATTTGGAAAAATACTTAAAACTCAAAAATGATCCATTAAAGAGTAATTATAATTTGATTTTATTGACTAATACAAATTTTAGATTTCAAGTAAGATATGAAGTATTAGAATAAATAAGTATTTTAAAGGTCCAATAACATTAAAGTAAACTGTGAATCAATAAATAAGCTAATGAACCCAATATATAGCTTTACAAAGAAGAAACACTTATGACCAAAAATGTATGTCATCTTCATAGGATCTGTGTAGTAATGAATATCAAATCAAGGGGATTCTATAGCATACTAACTTAAGTGTAAACTAGACACTAGTCAGCCCGAGATTACCAATGGAAAATAGTAAATGGAAAAATTTGGAACTGGTCTTAGGGAATAATGATAACCACTTATCTACAAGTCTGGAGGGCACCCTGGATGTTTCTTGCCAGCCCTTATTATAAAACTGAGAACCCACTGGGTCAGACAAGGAGATTCCCTGAAAGGAGAACAGGCTCCTCCTTCTACTGTGTTATCAAGCAGGGGAAAAAAATGAAGGAAAGTCCAGAGAAAACAATAAAAATCAAATGCCACTGCCCGCGAGAGCCATATGCATGGTTGTATATTAAATTGTAATACGTAGAAACATAGGCAGCCTTATCCATAGAGAGATGTTTTTATTGGATATTCTCATTTGATGGTAAAATTCATTCATTTCAAAATTAGAGCTTCCTGGCAACTTCACAGACATGAAGATAATCAAGCAAATGGGAAATTGTATTCCTCCAGAGTGGTTGATATTGAACACATCTTCATGGTAGTCCTGGAATACAATAAAACAAGAGCAACGTCGAATGTCAAGCATAAGTCCTATATGGCAACTGCATCAGATGGAAATGAGCATCAATATACATATACTTGGAAGATCAAATATCTGAATTTGATAATAGATTACATTGATAACTATATTTACAGATGAACAAAGATCCGTAAAAAAAAAATCTCTATATTTCTATCATTGATTGGGCAGAACTAGTACTGGGAACCAGTAGCTAGAGTTAATCTCCATATTTCCATTGCCTGGCTTCACATTCATTTGGAGTAAATATCTATTTGTATTTGCCATGCTAAATAAAACACTGAATTAGAATTTCAGGAGAATCAGGCAGTTCATAATAAAATGTAAGGGAGACATTTTCTAATAGTGAAAAAATATTTAAAACCAAAGTGAGCTGTTTAGAAGGATGAAGCACTTCATAACACTGAGCATGTTTACTGAGAGCCCCAGGAACACCCAAGGGAAATATGTTTGAGATGCTAGAGGTTAAACCTGGATCAATACTTCCATGATCCTACATACATCATTTAACTTTTTAATGTGTTTTATGTGAGCCTGGATCTTTCTATAAATAGTCATGACCTTATTTCCATCTCCAATCAACAATAACACTTTATAGTGTTCCCATGTTGTTAATTTAGCTTCATTTAGCTCTAGGCTAAACTGCATCATTTCCTTGGTTGTTACCCAAACCCTTTCTTTAGAAACTGTTTTTCTGTGATTCGCCATAAAATTGCTATGTGGTAATGATGGGAGCTATTTCTTTTTATACTCAATAACTGAAAAATCATAAAAGTTAGAATTTTGAGATTTATAACATTAATTTATGAAGAAATTCACCACCTGAAGATGTTACATTTTTAGCCCGAGTAGAAAACTGCTGTATAGTTTACATAGTCTAGACCTGTGGCTTTCAGACTTCCCAAAACACAATTCTTTAATACACTACCCCATGCTGTGGCTATACCAGTGGCTATCTGCTTTCCTAATGCTGCAACCCATTAATATATTTCCTCATGCTATGGTGACCACCAGTCGTAGAATTGATTTATTGCTACTTCATTATTGTAATTCTGCTACTATTCTGAGTCATAATGTAAATATATGATAAACAGAGTATCTAAAAAGTAGCCTCTATGAAAGGGTCACTGAACTCCCCAAATGGGTCACAACCCAGAGGTTGACATTCACATCATTCTTCCCCTCAAGATTTAAACTCAGGTAGATTTTATTTTATATTGACTTAAACTCCAAATTAAAAACAAAATTTCTATTTGAGGGCTTTTAAGAAGAGAATATTTACAAATTATCATAATGGGTTATGAAAAAAATTACAAGTTTTTAAACTGTACACACACACACGTACACAAACACACGCACACAAACACACTCTGCAGTATCACCTATTTATCCAGAAGATAACAGTTATCAACTGTTTAAACAACAAACTTCAAAGTTTCATTGTTATCCTGTACTAAACTGGATACTATGTATAAATATTATTCCAGTCATAGAATCTGTAAATGGAAGTTACGCTTCCTTAGAAATCAGTACATCTTTTTGGAGACCATAGCTATTGATACTTGTTTCTCCACTCAGTTCCTCCACTCAGTACATTTACTAATAAGCAACTGTCCAACAGCTATTAAAATAGACCTAAAGGCATATGGTACAAAATAATAAAACAAGTGTACAGAATCAGAGATTGTACCCATTTTCCTCATGATTGATAATTATTCTCCCCATAGTTTTTAAAAAATTCTCCAAGTTTCATGAGATATTTCTCCATCATTTGATAAAGATATATGTTGCAAAATTTTTGAGTAATCCTCCTCAACATGCTGATTAAAGAATTGGTACTGCATAAAAATACTACAAAGAGATGTAAAACTTGAACATAATTTTAGGATGTTTATGTGCCTTAGGTTGGTGAGTTTCAAGAGATAAACTTTTTTTTGCATGTGTGTGTCTCATACACTCTGGAAAGCGTGAGTGCATAAACCCAGAGTAATGGCTTTAGATTCTCCCCACATCTTGTGAAATTGACTCCTGTTACAACGGCACTAATGGTTCGGATCCTCTTAGCCATCTTTCTGTGTCCCATTTTCCAAAATTGGTCAGCTTCTTTTGGCCTCTGTATTTTTGCCACTCTGCACCCTTCATCTAGTTTGAAGTACCATTACAGAATGACTGTCACCTCTTTTCTGGAACAGCTAAGTTCCCTTACCCTGAAGCAGCAAAGTTCAGTGATAAGTACTTGGTCATTAAACTTCTGTCCTAGGAGTGAAATATATTTGATATGTAACTGTTTTATGTGTTCTTGTATTTGGGAAACATGTGCCAAAACAATGTTAAATCAAATCAAATGAAAAACAATTGCACAAATAGGAAAATGCAGAATGAATTATGTTCTGTCCTCATAGTGTAAAACAAATGTATAGAAAACCAAACCAATAAGCTTTTTATATGTATAAGCTGGTAGTGTTGATGTTAACTGAAAACCTAATGTGGAGACCCCAGGAAATCCTTCTTTGAAGAGTTAGAACACTCTTCTGATTGGAAGCACACAGCCCCATAGCTACACTGTCATTTTGAATGATATCCTTCTTTAGTATTACTTTCTAATTCACTGAAAACCATTCTGTTACTGATACCTTTATGAACGACTTTCACAAGTCCCAGTATCCATGATAGTAGTTGATTGGAATATAACATTATGCTCTCTGCACAGCATAATAACAAATGAAGACAAGCTTCTTGTTTTCTGGGTTAGCTGGTTTCTAAATTATATAGGTTGGTTCATTCACTTCAGAAGTTTGAAATAACTTACACTGTCTTTAAATTGCTCTTGAACTTTGTGAATTCTTCTGTGTCCCTCTGCTTCTTTCCAGATTCCTGCTGAAGACATCATTCATTGTCTCTAGTCTCAAACTAATTGCATACATTTAGAAAAATTGCCTTCATTAAGGAATATTACATAAACATATGATGGAGAATGAGATTTTTCAGATTTTTTTATTCTGATGACATAATTTTTCCCTATGATTTTAGTTCTTCCAAGTGCTTGTTACTTTACTAAAGAACTATGTCTAAGTTATTATCCCTATTGGAGAATGTCTAAATGTTCTCCATATTTCAGTACTTAATGAATATAATAGGTTTTTGAAATGTTTATCATTAGTCACTAAAATAGTTTATCATTATTTTGTAAAATAGAACATATAGTGATAAAAATTAGACTTTATCCTGCCATACAGACAAACTCCACATCATACACATACAAGCACACACACATTGATTTCAGTTTCTTCTGTATACCCAAGAGGAACAAGTATAAACTGCTTAAAAAGCAAAGTTCAGTTGCGGTTTCAGTTTTATCATATGTAAAATTATGCTATTATAATTAATATTATTAATTTTATAATTTATCCAGTGAGTAATTGAAACAATATTTTCAGAACAGGAGCTAGCATTGCAATGGATAGTGTTTTCATTTTCATTGTCATTTTTATTATTCATGACATTTATTTAATATGCAACTTATAAATGTTATCTATTAAATTTTTCACTTTTTATCAAATGTCTTCCATCCAAATGAATCCACAGTATTTGTGTTAAACATAAATTATAAAACCTTAAATATAAGGTGACATGAATTAGTGGCTCTAGATTAAGCATCAAGTACTGAACTGAAATTAATTACACAGTTTTCAGTCAATCATTTCCAATTCATTGCTGTACTATATTCTAATCAATATGTCAGCAATCTTAATATAGAATGCATTGTTATTTGCCATTGAAACAGCAGCAAAAACTTTAGTATCTTAAACTTTGTGATCTCCATCTCTCTGTCTCTGTCTCTTTGCTTCTGTCTCTCTCTCCCTTTTTTTTCTCTCTCTCTGTCTCTCTGTCTCTGTCTCTCTGTCACACACACACACATGCACATGCATATATAGTCTGTTGACTCTGAGAAACTACATTTTACCCCTTCAAATTTAGATCTGACTCAAGAAAGATAGTGATGAGGCCTTCAGTAGGGAAGCTATTTCAGGCCACAATTGGGGAAGCCATGAGTTTTCAGCATCCCTGCATAATAACATCAAACCCATCAACTTCAAAGAAGCAAGTTTAAGAAGTGTGTGCTCAGAGAGCATGAACGTGAAGGTTTTTATAGCTTCAGGTTACTCTGTGTCCTGAGTTCCTGATACTTGATTTTATGGTTTCAGAATTTTGTAGTGTTCAGCTATCTTTCTTCCCTAACATTCTGAGAGATTGCCCAAACCTTTCCTTTATTAATCCAAGATATTTTGACTTTATATTTTTGTTACAGAATTTCATTAGGCAAAGGTTTATTAAACTTATGAAATACAAAAAAATGTTTTTACTGATCAAAAATTAAAACATGTAAAACTTAAAAGAATTTCAGGTTTATTAAGCTATTGCAAAATTTGTTCATATGATGTGGATTTTGTTTCACTGAAATTCTATAAGTGATTCACATTGAGTAGTAAAAATAAAAGAATATTTACCTAAAAAGAATGTATGCCCCTACTCCAGACTTACTGGGAAATGATTAAAATATGAGAAAAACATTGAAATCACAATTAAATGACATTTTCTGTTCCCTCAGTATCCAAACTTCTGGAAGAGTAAAATATAAAATCAAGTTTACGAGGTGCATTGGGAGAACCAAGGGTTTTATATGTCACAGTAGAAAGTAGTGTTTTAGTATCTTCTGCTTCCTTCCTTGTTGTCTCCTTTTCCATCCTAGTAGTATATAAGAGAAAATGGATTTTTGGAGCATGCAGTCAAAAAGAAAACTACTTTAAATAAGTGTCATGGTTGAGGGAGTAGACCAGGATAAAGTAAATACATCTGAGAATCTTCCTCAGAGTCTTGTAGCACATAATTTTTGCATACAGGAAAATTTTTCTACTTCTTTAAAACTGGTATCAGTGAGAAATCAAAGGGCCTAGCAGCAGGTGCTGAGATCAGTAGAGCCCATTTGTCTGTTAAATGAGTAATTAAGGTTTTGTCATGTTCAGGGACATGGAGGAAAAAATTCCTAAATCAATTATTTAAAATTGATGCATTGTATGACTAACCTTTACTCTACAGGCTCATAAGTAGTATTATATAATTATATCTCTGAAAAGTGAGGAAAATGTAATCAACATGAATTAGTACTAGCAAGCCCCCTCCCCCAATTTGGTTGCAAGTGTGCAGGGAATAAAATCATTGAAAAAGGTAGAAAGATACTCTGTTTTTATCTTAACCTTAATCCTCACAGCATCCCTATGTAATCATTCAGGGGTTTCCATCACTGTATGCTCTAGCTCCTTCTATATTTCTAAATGCCCAGGCATCTCTAGGAAAATGGAGTGAACCTCAGCATTGCTACAGCTGCAGTATTCTTCCCCATACTGAGGCGCAGAAACTGATATTCAACATTTTAGCTCTGACTCTGTACCACAGAAAGTTCTTCCCTGATCTCCATGCCTTCAGTAATTGAGTGCTTTTTGCTTTTTCAGTATGCTTTTAATAAACTAACTTTGCTTAAACATGATGTCTAAAAAAAAGACTTTTTCCCTGGCATTTATTTTTATGTTAAAGTCATAACTATAAGACAACTATGATTTCATCAAAGAAAGGAGAAGAAAATTAATCTTAGGAAACAAGCCAGATTTCCATTCATCAGAATCTAATATTTGCAAAGCGACATTGCACACTTGAACTACAGGGTCTGATCTACTCTCAACCATCACTTGTAGTATGTGCTGAGTTTAATTGAAGGTAATTCTTGTTTTTAAAAGGACCCTGAACTCACAGCAATTGCTTACATTCTGGAGAAATAAAGTCCTTTTTAATCTAATCCTCTTGGTGTGACTTCTCATGGAAGTAATTTGCACACTTACATTTATTTTAAAAAGGACCATTTTCACTTGAGGACATTCTGATTTTATTCCTTTTAAAATATTCTTTAAATTCTTAAAATAAATAAACATCACATTGTCCTGCTTTATGCATAGTATGTCTAGACCAGAAGGAAAATCAGAAGTCATTTTCACCATGAATAAGTGGGATGTTCTTTAACTTATCCTCTGCGTATAGGTATCAAATACTGAAATTTTTGTACACATTTGTTGACATTTCTGGATTGATGACTTGAGGTTGGCATTTATTCAGATTGTTGGTATTTCACAATTTCTTCTTTTCTTTTCTTTTATTTATTAAGGTTTAATACATATTTTTATAGTCTTTACAATTTTTGTACTTTGGTCATATTCACCCTTTCCCCTAAACTCCTTACTGATCCACTTTTATTCCATATCCAAACCATTTTTTGTCTTTGTAATTGTTAAAACCCACCAATTACAATGCTGCTATCTAGGCACTCTTTTATATTTTGCCATCTACTGAAGCATGACCTACCAACCCTTAAAGAAAACTAAATCTCCCTTTCCCAGCAGCTGTTAAGTACTATTGGCTACATATCTAGGGGTGAGACATAGCCACTAGCTCTCCCATCTATGTTGCATTTAGCTTTGTCTTGTACAGGTCTTTGGTGTGCTGTCATAGCCACAGCATTTTTACATGTGCAACTTCCCTGTGAAGTCCAGAAGTCAGTCATTGTAGACAAAAGTGACACAAATACCACAGAGTAACCAACCACTTTCTGATTGGATTTCAGGCTACTTCTACAAAATGGAACTCTGATCTGGCACTAACCACCACATAGGCCAAGAACCTACAGCTAGATACTAGATACATCCTAGGCTATAGGAGAAGAAGCATTTCAGGAACCTAGCTGTAGAGTGCACACACACACAATTCACATGTGTGCATCTGCTTATTTAAGGGACTACTCACCCTCATTCATGACTAATCTTCAGCAGAAATTATGGGAAAAATACTTATTATGGACTGAACAGGAACCACATATTTCCCTGACATTTTTTAAAAATCACAAACTTGCTTTCATTGATAATGTATTTTATTTTTAATTGTGTGTATACATGTGTCTGTGGTGAGCAGGCATGTGCACATATGTGTGAATAGCATCAGAAACTGGAAGATGGTGTCATCACTCATGAAACTGGTTTTATAAGCAGTAAATAAAGTCCTTCGTTAGACAACAAATGCTCTTAAATCACCTCTCAAGCCTAAAGGTCACAACTTTAATCAACTTAGTGGAAGCTACGTGAAAGATAATAGCAAGACCCAAATAAAACCTGCTTCTTAAACTATGTATAAATATCCAATATGAGAGAAAGGAAAGCAAAATCACTTGACATTGCTGCCAAAGTAAAACCAATTTGGAGATTTCAGTGTCTCTAGAGTCAGAGCCTGAACCAAAAGGCTCTTTGACCTTTAAATTGTATTAGATGATTTCTTCTGATAAGAATACAGAGAATATTGACATAATTCAATTAAGCAGAAGCAACAAAGAAACTATCCACACCTTGGTGTTAAGGACAAGAGATCCAAGGTGTGTAAACTGAAAAACATGAGCCCGCATGCATTACATAGAGGCTGATGTCTAGATCTTGTGGAATTTGATTTCACTGTGTGGTTAGCGAGTCAATTAAAGAAATTTTAGAAAAATACTCGACAAAGTTTGGTCAGTGTTACAGGTATGAAAGTCACATCAACCAGACATCTGCTTGTGGTTGAGTGAGTTTTGATTTTTAATGAATGACTGTTAGAACGAACTGGACCTATTAGTGGTTTTCCAAGACATTATTACCTTATATTTCTTTATTTTATAGATTAATTCAACAACTTTCAAGAATGCATTTCATCGATTACATTCTTAAAAAGTATGTGTCATGCTGAGGTGTAGCGTTTGTATCTGTTATCATTTTTAAATCACTTCAGAGGAATTTTGCAGTGGATAAAAACAAATTAAGATGATTTTAGTGAGTGCTGACTTACTGCCCTCTAATGTTACAATAGATGCTGTGTATGATATCAGGCAGATTTTTTTTTACTTTGAAAAAAATTTGTGAGATGTTTTTGTTATAGATATGTATATTCTTTCTGGAAGACTGCAATGCTACATGTTCATCTAACCCTTAAAAATACTTACCAAGATGTTTGTTGAATATTGTGATTTCACTTCTGTGGAGCAAAAAAAAGCACATAATGTGACATAAAAGTGTCACGCTAAAAGTAGAAAAGACATTTGTACCCTCACAGCTGTTTGGACTTATGGAGACCCAAGTGGCCTGCTTTCATGAGGACATATTTTTGTCTCCCTTATAGAACTTCTTGTATCAGACGTTGTCTCTAAAATACTTACCTAACACATTGATACACTGGGGACTCCAGTTATACACATTGTAAATATTACTACAGAAGCATTGCACCAAATTACTTACTACTCAGCAACATTCTTTTTGTTCTGTTATCATATCTTACTAATGTCAGATATTTAATTTCTCATCTCTGATATTTTTGAATTGATATCAAACTTTTAATTTCAATTTACATTTAGAAAAGTGACCTTTTTAAAACATTAGGTCTTCATGTTTTCATTTTCGAACATGTATATATAATTTATATTTCCTACACTGATTTAGATAGATCTACATAAATGGTAGATACATTCTGAGAGCTAGAAATAAAAATTTAGATACAGGAATATCTCTGCTATTTCTAGTTCTTCTAGTATATGCAGACAGATATTTATGGGGAAAGTCTGTGACGGTTTCTCTCTCTCAATAGTCTTACAACTTAATTGAAGTCATAATCCAAATCTCTCATAGGATTCCCATGTAAAGGAGTTCATCGTGCTGAATTCCTTCCCATAGTGTTAATAGGAAGCCACAATTTCAATTCCACACAACTGAACTGATAGTCTCTTACGGCATTTCAACTCCTCTCAGAAATCAATACATTTTACAAAGACTGGAAGGATATTTTAGTGCGATTTGTATATCAGTGAGCAAAAGTCAGGAATGACATCAGTAATAAGCAAACCTGCAATCAGTAAATACAGTTAAATTCAGTACATACCATAGATTTTTAATAAAACTTTACATCTCTCCTGCCAGGGTTCTGCTGTACTTCTCAAGTGATGTTATTAATTTCTGTTGTTGTTGCTTCTTGTTTGCAGAGCTGGTGATATCTCTTCAATTTTAGTATCCTCTTTATTCCCCATTCTTTGAACAATAGAATGTTATTGGGGCATGATTAAGTTTGTGGCTAGGGATGACCTCAGACTCAGTGTTAATACAATAAAAGCTAAACTTTTTTGTTTTAATTTATTCTTCTCTCATTCCTTACCTCCCAACTACATTGTTTCCTCACTTCACTCCTCCCAGATCCATTCCCCACCACCTCCCATCTTTCTGAGATCCACCCCTCCTCCTTTTCCCTTTAGAAAAGAGATTGAGAGGTCATTAAAGGCCAGTCTACAACCAAACACACAAGCTTTTAAATGCAACTTCCTTCTAAATTAGAACTGATTGTCCCTGCTATCATAACCATGGACGCCCTTTTCTAAATAGCATCTTTCTTTTGTAATGTTCCCTAATGCTCACATTAAAGTTGACTAATGTTAATATACTATAGTAATTTTAATTTTAAGAAAGCAAATTAGTTATATCTTCAAAACATTTAAAAGAGATACTTTATTTCAATAGCAATCTACTTCATAAATTTAATATATATACCACACAATCATGGTATTGGCAAGTCACTGTGAGTATAAGATATAGACTAACAAATATAATGCATATGAATATATATTCCAAATTAAGGGCACTATACTACAGAGTATGGGTGAGTGACTAATTTTTTAAAAAATATCTACAAAAGTTACAAAAGTGCCAAAGCAAGAACTAATAATTTGATTTCACATGAACACAAATATACAAATGTATGGTTACATACATATCCTAGGGATTATGATTTTATTTTTGTTATAATCACAAGTTAGTAAAATATAATTTAACTTATTTACAAGTTAAAACACAACAGATATTTTCTTCATAATTAAGCAGGCAAATTAACCAATTAGCATCCAAACACACACACATATTTGTGTATGTATATGCTAAGCGGTTAATAGTATATATGTGGGGGGGGTGCATTTGCGTGTGTAGTATGCGTGAATCTGTGTTTGGTAAGTACATTTAAATATTCTCTCTCAGTACTACTTCTCAGAGGTACTATGCAGATAAGTAGTCTAAATAGATATTTGCTGCCTTGGCCAAATTTTCTGTTCCTTTGTTTGATAACCTCCATCACTTGCATTCTCTTCTGAGTTATAGATTCTTTTCATAGAAGGAAGATAATGAAGATTTATTTTTGTAATATTGCATTATCCATGTACCTGTATGTACACATGAATTCAAGAATTCAATGACTAAAGAAGATGGTATTAGATCCCTTTGGCCCAAAATTTCAGTAAGCTGTGAGCTTCAAGACTCTTGTACTGAGAAACAAACTCAGGTCCATTTCTGATGTACTAATTTAAAAGTGTCAGGGTATTAGTTCAGAAGTGCAATTTTTAGATCATGTATTAAGGAACTCAAAAATGATGGCTACTATCAGACATGTCAGTGCTTGCACATAATTCTAGCACTTGGGGTTAGTCATTAAGGTCATAGGAATGAAGAAAGTCTGGACTGCAAAACAATTCCTCTTAAATTAAAATAATACAAACAGGAATCAAAGAATGAAACACAAAACAATGAAATCTTTAGCAAAAAGATCACAGCTGTGTTTACTAGCCAAATTTATACATTATTCAAAACCTATAATAATTAAAATGGCATGATATCTGGATAAAAATGAACACATGAAGTCATAGGAAAGATTAGGGAGCAGAAGCAAACCTTTGTAATCTTGTCTAATAGCTTTTGTAGAAAGTTGAGAGAAGGACAATAGAAAAAAAACACATGATTATGTCAATAAGAATAATTGGGAGAACTACACATTATTGTGCCAAAGAGTTAAATTGGACACTCATATCATACCTAAACTTAAATCAGATTTGATGAATAGGAGAGAACAGACTAGAATGGACTCAAGTCTTTAAATTCTCAATCCCAACCCTAGTGGCACACTTCCTCCAGAAAATCCACATCTCCCAGACCTCCAAATCAGCACTATCAGCTGGGAGAAAGTATTCAAATACAGATCCCTCTGAGGGAAATTATCACTCAGACCATCACTGGAGACATCAGAACACTGAACGCAGAGTTTGCAATACAGTTGCACAGTCAACAATCTTTATGTCAATGCCATAGGTATATAAAAATGAAAGATCACCTCGCTAATAAACTGTTAGTTAAACTGGAGGTCCATATGCACAAGAGAGGAGTCAGAATACATATAAACTTAAAGTGAATGAAAGACTTAAATTTAAGGCCTGAAAGCTATAAAAATCATAATAAGAAAAAGTAAAGGGAACATTTTGAACAAGGATCTTGGCAAACACTTTTATGTATAATCCCCAAAACAAAATGTAAAATCTTCCAGAGTATACCTGATGAGAAAAACCCAAACTCGAGCAAGGAAATACCAGTACATCCTAATCTGGATGAACAAAACAGAGCAAACTGACAGCAGTGAAGAAAGGCAGAGTGCTACGGGATAATACACTTGTACACTGTAAAGAATTGTCACTTGTATTAGTTTAAGAAAGTGTTGCTTGGCCAGTAGCCAGGCAGGAAGTACAAGCGAGATGATCAGACTAAAAGAATTCTGTGAAGAGGAAAGGCAGAGAGACAGTCACCAGCCAGACACAGAAGAAGCAAGATGAGAATACCTTACTAAGAAAAGGTTGAAAGCCACGTGACTAAACATAGACAAGAATTATGGGTTATTTTAAGTTGTAAGAATTAGTTAATGATGAGACTGAGCTAATAGGGCAAACAGTTTATAATTAATATAAGCCTTTATGTGTTCTTTGGTACTGAACAGCTATGAGACTGGGCAGGTCAGAAACTTCTGTCTATAGTAGTGTGGTGATAACAGAGGGCTATAAGTACAAAATTTTATAAGCTTTTTGGAAGTTTGGCAGTTTCTAATGTAAGCATATTGGTATATATGTATATGAATATGAAAGTATGTGTTTACCTTCACAATAAATCTTCACAGAAAATTTTGAATAGCTATATAGTTGCTGTATTAGAAACTACCAAATCTCAGAAATAATCAGGGCATTGTTGAGCAGTTATAGATAATCTATTGCTTGTTAAGATATATTATTATTTTTCGGTCTAAAATGAAATGAATTATCAGCCCATGAAGAAAAGACATGGAAGAAACTTAAATATCTGTTGCTTTAACTGTCTGTAAAGGCTGTAAGATTCATAATTCTAACTATGTGGGATTTCTGAAAAGCCAAAAATAATAAGATGACATTAATGGTTTCCAAAGGATAGAATGGAAAGAAAGATGAATGGGTAGAAAACAGTGTTTGCAAAACCACTTCTGTACCCACAGAAACTGCCATTACAAGTTTTTCAAAATACATAAAATATACATAGTCGAGAGAATGCAAATGAAAAGTATGAATGCTGGTAAAATGATTTGTTAGTGAAGACTCATGAATTATTATAACAAAGGCACCACTCTGAAAGGAGATGCTGGAAATATGGGACTCAATGCATGTACAACTGGCTGCAAGCATCCAGTCCTGCATGCTCTGTTTTGCTATTAACATAAAAAATCACATAATTAATCCATTGAAGTGAACTGAGAAAGACAATTTAGAAGGTATTGACAATGCAAAGGTCCAGGGAATTGCCTTCAGGATAAAGAATAAGTGTGTGTTACTATCATAAGATGAGGTATTGTCAAATATAGAACTAAAGCAATGTGCCAAATGCATGATGTAGAAAAGCAATAATGGTGCCAGATGAAGACCTAGAAACAGTTTCAGAGAAAATCAATGAAAGACCTTATAAGTTAGAGGAAATGTTTATGCAAAATGTAACATTAATAGATTACAAGCATTGGGCCTGAATAGACTTGGTGGTGGTATGTGTTTAGTATGGGATTTCTTTCACAGGTTTATGTGCTGAAACTGAGTCCTCAGCTGGTAGTACAAGTCTGAAGACTGTAGAACTTCAAGAGGTAAAGAAATAATTGAAGGAAGTAGGTAACTGGGACAGGCCTCGAATTTCCATAGCTCAGCCTGACTTCTTTCCCTCCTCTGCTTTCTCACTACAGACTCAGTGAGACTAGCCACTTCACACCTCTGAAAGTCATGATGAACTGTGCCTTTAAACCACAGGACAAAATAAACACCTCCCCAAATAGCTTCTGTAAAATATGCTCTCACAATAACAAGAAAGGGAATGGATACAGATGGCTTATGCCTGGATAACAGGATGCATGTGGAGTACTGTGGAGGGACGGTCCAAAGAACTTTACCTGTGTTTAGAAGACTTTGAGGTCACCAGGCAAAAGCTAATGTTTGGTTGAACTGTGAGTGTGGAAACATCAGAAAGGTGGAACTGACAAATTTAAATTTTCTCGATATAGAGCAGCAATTAGAACGAAGGAAACCTAGTAAGGATGAGTTAACAGCTTCAGAAGAGGCCATGATTTAGGATTGCAGCATCAAGATTTGGGAAGCAATGATCCGTGGTACAGATATCAAATGTTCTTTATGGTTCTTTTGGTTTGAAGGTGCCTGGTGGCAATCAATAGACTGTCTGAAACATCTTCATTTGTGACTTTGTACTTGAATGAAGTCAGTACTGGGTTAAAACATAGGATTCACTGACTTATAAAGCTTCCAGAGTAGATGTAATAACAGAAATGATATGGGTGGGAAAGTGCTATTGCAAAGTCACCCAGCTGCTGAATTTGACAATATGGAGAGTTTTGATAACCTTTTGGCAGCCTTAAAAGAGAGGTGGCAAGATTTCTTCTCTTATAACAAGTGATTGTAACTTTAAGGTCACAATCTCTCTGTACCAAAAAGATTTGCATTTCTCTTAACCTTTAAATGGACATTTTAAAATAATCCATTTGTTTGGTGATAGGCATGCATTTCTTATAACTAGAAGATCCAAATATCATAAAATAAAAATCTAAAATAAAAGTTAGAGAGTCGAGTATAAGAACCTTAAGTATCAATTTAATCTAGCAGTTGGTTAAATTATTTTAAATCCAAATTGGATTAAAATAACACAAAGCTAACTTACCAAGAACGTCCATCAGGAATTACAAGTGGTTCAATCTTGTGGTCACTTCAAACTTAGATGGTCCTGCAAACTCAAGGTTTTCTTTGTCTTCTTTCTATAATGATGGTCCTTGCCTGTCTTATCTTTTTTTAAAGTCTTTTCCTTCCTGCCTTATTTACTCACTCTCTTGCTCCCTTCCTCCTCTGTGTTTTCTCCCTAAAGCCATCATGGATATTTGTTCAACTCAAACTCTATTTTCTAAACATTGATTTTTTTTCTTGGGCATCTCATTTCTTTAATTGTAGAAACTCAACTTAGCTTTACATCATTAAATCTAGAGACAACATTAAGCCTTCTTGGAGTTTTTTTCTTTTTCTTTTCTATTTTAGCAAAGTCCTTACTGAATACTGGTAATTTTGTTTGTTTCTATATCTATGTTTTCTGGATTCTTATTTGCGTATTCTTGAATGTCTCTAGCGATTTTACTTTTAAAACTCCATAGCTATAATTTTAGAATAGGTATCTTCCACGTCATTCAATGAATCCTAAGTATTTGTCTTAGTCTTTTTTTTGTTTTTCTAACACTGGCTATATTTTCATTTCACATTATGTTTTCTCTTCTCTAAGGATTATTTGATTAATTTACTGCACTCTTCTTCTATCTCATGGGCTCATTCTAAGACTACTGAGGTAGCTTCACTGAATATACTTTGGAGTTCTACGTACAGGTTGAGTTCTCATCCAAGACTACTTTCCCTTCTTCTCTTTCTTTGCCTTCTTTTCCTCCTTCTTTGAATCAGCGGAATCACCTGCAGAGTCTTTCTTGTCTTTTTTCTTGTCTTTCTTGTCTTTCTTACTATCCTCCTTTGAATCTCCTGCCTTCTTCTCCTTTTTATTTTCCTTCTTCTTGCCTTCTTTCTTGCCCTCTTTCTTTAAATCTCCCTTCTCACTTTCAGAATCTAGAGGTGTATCTTTGATCTTTGAAGCCTTTTTAGAAATTTTGTTTCCTTTCTTTTCACCAGGCTTGTCAGCTTCTGAATCTGTAGGTGTATCCTTGGAGCCCTTTGGCTCCTTCTTACCTTTTTTAGAATCTTTCTTCCCACCAGACTTTTCACTTTCAGATTCGGAGGCTACTTTCTCCTTTTCCTTTGTCCCTTTTTTATCTTTCTTGGCATCTTTCTTCTCGCCAGGTTTTTCACCTTCAGACTCTGAGAGTAACAGTTTATCCTTTGACCCCTTTTTACCTTTTTTGGCCTCTTTCTTCTCACCAGCCTTTTCACCTTCAGATTCTGAGACTGATCC